AAATTTTGTAATTTTTAAAGTGTTAAGGGCTGGATAGAAGATGTATTCATGAGGCTATTTTATTAATACATATATGTAATGAGTTGGAGAATCTTATGATTGATACTGCTAGGTGTTATAGAGAAAAACTAGTTCTAATTCTCAGGGATTCTTATGAAATCACTCATAATATGTTTAATTCATTGTGATATGGGTACTAGTAAATATGATTTTCTTTTTATGATGCTTTTTCTTGCGATTCTAGTATTTTGTGATGTAATGAATGAAATTCAATTATTCATAAGTAGAAATAAATTAATTTTATTTTTGGTTAAATAGGAACCTAAAACAATTCAAGTTCAAGAATAGACAATTTGAGTAAATGTATCATCCTGTAAGACTTTTGAAATTGAATATAACTCGAAGAATAAATACACATTCGTCTAAACCCTTATGCAAGCATTATAACTAGAAAGACAAAGAGGAGGAACACTAGAACTTAACAAAAAAACAATATCCCTCAGAAGATGAATTACATTAAGTAGAATCAAAATTTGCAAAATCTTATAAATAGGGTATTGTTTTACTCTGGAATTCTTGCTTTAGCAATCTAAACTTGGACTTGATTAAAATTATGAACAAACATAATATGATATCATTATAAAGTATTACTTCATTATTTGTGCTAATTTTAAAAAAATGGAGGGCATGGATTATACATGTTGCTCAATTTATTATTATAAGAAGCAGAATAGAATTTAGTGCAATCATCAAAAGTAGTAGTATTTGATAATGGACAATAATCACATATATTTCAGTCGTTTAATCAATGTTCTCAGAAAAATGACACTTGTAAAAGTCGGTTGACACATTTAAACTTTTGTATTGTAATTTTTAGATGAAATAGTTTTTTAAAGTAGTTTTAATCATTCGACTTTGCACAAGAAATCAGCATAAGCAATATTTTAAGAATGAAATGTAATTTCCGTGAACTTACTAATCATCACTACTATATAGCCAGAGGAACTTTAAACATTAAAAAGTAATAAAATGATTAGCATTTACATGGAATATAAAAGTTTATTGATAAGAAAGACTCATACCCTATATGTTATTAAAATAGATCAAAATATATATTATTCATTTGCTGAATTATGTTAATATTTCTACTTTTGACTTATTATATAAATTAACACATGGATAAAGATCTTATGATGTGTCTATGTTGAGTGTCTTAATATAGAGTTGAATATTTACGAATGATTCATTTGTTGATTGCTTAATCCATTTAATATACTTATTTGCAATATCAACTTCCATTATTATCATATCATTTGTGGTGAATTTAAATGATATCTACTTATTATCTTTATCTTATTAATCATGATTGAAACATCTGCCATCATAATATATAAAATATGTTCTATTATAAGATACTTAATTATAATAAATACCCTTTTCCAATTTGATAAGCACCTTGATAATTATTCTTTTATATAATATCTCTAAAACCTATTCCTAACATTACATAATAATTATCTAATATTTTAAATGCAAATTTAACTAATCCATGTTTTGGAATCATTTAATCGCAAATACAACAACAATACCAACAACCATTAGAAGTTTCGACAACAACCCTTCCATTTTATGAAATTTAACAATTATTATGTTTAAATGATTATGAAAATGTTAAACTTTAAGGATATTAATCTAATTACTACTACTAATAGGATTTATAATATCATACTATTTAAATCTATCTTTATAAATATGTTATATCTTGAGAATCTTTTTGTAACGATGTCAATTAATCTAATGTTTCTTATAATTATTTATTAAGTTTCTCGATATCATTTTCTTTATTTTTCAATAATTAATTAAGATTAGTAATTTAAGAAATCTCTAAAATATATAAAATCTAATAAATTACAATTATTACAATCTTCCTGTGCTTTAGTTAAATTATTTAAAGTAGATTGATTTTGTTTATTCAAAATGTCATTTTACTTAATTGAATCATCATATTTGAATTATAATGAATTTAATAAGGATTCTAATTTTGATTAATTGTCTTAAAATTAAATAATTTTTAATGAATTTGAATCAATTTCATTTTATTTAATTTTTAGTTCTTATTACAATTAATCAACCATTAAAAGTCTTTTAATTTCTATAGTATCTTTTATGAATTTCTAAATTGTTTCTTCATATTGTTCATTAATTATAATATTGGATTCAATAATCTTTTCTTCATTTAATTATTATTCATTATTGATAGTTTATTGTTGAATTGATAAATCAGAGATATTTTAGATAATAGATTTATATAAACTCAAGGCTTAATTGAAAATGCCCTGATAAGCATCAAACTTTTAGATTTTCCTTAGAATTTGATTCATATTTTAGATCTAAATATTGTTTATTTTTGAATCTTCAATTTAGATTGTATTTAAAATAGATTAATCATTTTTGAAAATCTTCAAGATGTCTTCTCTTTTTAATAATTCAAATTCAAATAAGCTCATTAGATTATTAATTATTAAATTATATTTAATTTAATCTTCTTTTTCAATATTAACTTATTAATCTTATAAAGCTATAAATTTATCTTATTTACTTAATATTAAAGTAAGTTCATCTATTTATTCTTAATTGAATTCATAAATATCCGTTTGATTTGACTGATTAAATTATAATAATTTAGTTAATTATTATTCATTATTCAATTTATCTATCAATTCATTTAATATTAATGTATATTATTCTCTCATTTCCTTTAGATTTTATATAATCATTTCTTATTAAAGTAATCTTTGATTTTAAAATAATTTAATTTTATCTTCAGTTTTACCTTTAAATTCATCCCATTTAATCCCTGCATCTTATATTGAAGTGTATTTAATAGGATTATTATAATGTATACAATCAACACATGCTAACCTTGAAATTTAAGTTTCATTTGGTTCTAAATTCAACATTATTATTTCTTTTCCATGTTTATTGCATTTGATGTTGAGAGATGGTGTTTTCTAAATATTAATATACAATAATTACTGATTTATCTACTTGTTTCTCTTTTTAAATACTAGATACTTTAATTTCCTTTGACTTTTCAATTTTTTGATTCTATTATAATATATCAATAACTTATGTATATGAGTGATTATTTGTAAATGATTAAAACATTGATTAGAGAGAATCATAAAATTGATTATCATCTTCTAATTTATCAAATTCTATAGGAATTTCATAATTAAAACTTCCTTTATAATTTGATGATAGAATTTCAACTTCATCTTCAAATTTATAAATTTTAGATTTTTAATCTAATTCTTCTAAATCCTTTTCAATTAATTATATTTTCTAATGAATATTAATTATTATCTTTTCAATAACATTCTCAACTTAAACTTTGTATTCTTTAATCAAACATTGAATTTATTTAAATGTTTCTATTCTTCTTTAATTTTCCTTAATTTTCAGTGTTTATTATTCACTTTTCATCTCCTTAATCATAATTTTAGTCTCATCCACCAAAACCATATTTTATATATCAATCTTCTCTATTAAACACTTTATACAAAGGTATTTCTCCTCCTTACTCGTTGATTACTTTAAATCAATTGTTGTTATCTCCATCTAATGTTTTTAACAAACCTTCCTCTCCTATTCCAAAGACATCTACAAATCTTTTATTTTTTATTTATTTATATTAATTAATATACACACAATTCATAATATATACTCGCAAATGAAAAAATATTTAAAATATTATAATAACAAAGTTAATGGTTATGGTTTCCAAAATAAATTCATAGAAGATAAAATTAAGAATATTGAATTCATCTTCTTTAATGATATTAATAATTGGAACACGCTTTTCATTATTTTTTTCTTCAAGCTCTAAATATTTTTTTATAGAATATTAGATGCTGTCTATTAAAATTCTCAACCACTGTTACTTACAAATAAATTATATATTATCAGTATTTGATTACTACCACTTGAAAGAAATTTGATACAATCAAAACATTTTTTCCTTTTTGTGTTTGTAATTACAGAGAATCTTCATTCTTTAATTCTTTATGATAAAGCCAACACATCTCACATATCATATTGCTATTCAAAAACTTAGTCTTCCTTATCAATTAAGTGACAACTTGATGATGGTATATATCCTTAATTAATTTTCATCTCTTCATTTTTTACTTATATTATGAAGTTATTCAATAATCAACTGGCATTTCATGAACTCCTGTTACAGTTTAAATTAATCCAATCTTTAAACATCAATTAAGTTTGTTCTCCAATCTTAAGGAAGAATAAGTATTTTATCAAGATATTTAATTGAAACCTGCTTTTTAGAGCAATTATCATCTATAATTTCTAAAGGTTTTCAAACTTTTTAAAAGGAGACTTGAGATTTGGTTCTTAATATTCAGTCTTTTCTCTTTGGGATTTTTCAAACCTTACTTAAGCAACTGATAATCCACGATCTAAGAATTTAATGCAATCCAATATTCACAAGAGTTAAATAAGAGTCTTTTACTTATGGTACTTAGGAATCTAGAATGATAAATTCAACCTTTTTTCTTCCTTTTGATTAAAAAATGACATTAAATTCAATAATCAACAGGTAAATTTTAATTGTAACCTTGATAGTGGTTTACAAATTAAAATATTTTAAATAATTGATAGATATTATGATATTTTTAGTTTTGAGTCTGTTTTCCTATTTTTTATTAATGTAATGTTGAATTTAGTAATTATTTTCGTAATCCTTGTATGAAATCGAATAAGATTTCCTGCTTAAATGATGCGTGAGTGGCATATTTTGTTTGAAATTTATTGCGAATGATGATATATTTGAACCTATGGCTGCTTTTATGTTATAAATATGCTTATTTCGAATTTATTTGATTAGTAGATGTTAAATTGAAATATTTATTATTAATCTGAAGAATTGCATTATAACTTTTAATTTCTTTTAGTTGATTGTTAAAATCAGCTTTAAAAATAGATTTAGCATAAGCATTTTTTTAATAAATATCCAAATTACAAATTCTTTTAAATTAAGATTCAGGTAATTAATATTTTTTAGATTGATTTTGTTTATTCAAAATGTCATTTTACTTAATTGAATCATCATATTTGAATTATAATGAATTTAATAAGGATTCTAATTTTGATTAATTGTCTTAAAATTAAATAATTTTTAATGAATTTGAATCAATTTCATTTTATTTAATTTTTAGTTCTTATTACAATTAATCAACCATTAAAAGTCTTTTAATTTCTATAGTATCTTTTATGAATTTCTAAATTGTTTCTTCATATTGTTCATTAATTATAATATTGGATTCAATAATCTTTTCTTCATTTAATTATTATTCATTATTGATAGTTTATTGTTGAATTGATAAATCAGAGATATTTTAGATAATAGATTTATATAAACTCAAGGCTTAATTGAAAATGCCCTGATAAGCATCAAACTTTTAGATTTTCCTTAGAATTTGATTCATATTTTAGATCTAAATATTGTTTATTTTTGAATCTTCAATTTAGATTGTATTTAAAATAGATTAATCATTTTTGAAAATCTTCAAGATGTCTTCTCTTTTTAATAATTCAAATTCAAATAAGCTCATTAGATTATTAATTATTAAATTATATTTAATTTAATCTTCTTTTTCAATATTAACTTATTAATCTTATAAAGCTATAAATTTATCTTATTTACTTAATATTAAAGTAAGTTCATCTATTTATTCTTAATTGAATTCATAAATATCCGTTTGATTTGACTGATTAAATTATAATAATTTAGTTAATTATTATTCATTATTCAATTTATCTATCAATTCATTTAATATTAATGTATATTATTCTCTCATTTCCTTTAGATTTTATATAATCATTTCTTATTAAAGTAATCTTTGATTTTAAAATAATTTAATTTTATCTTCAGTTTTACCTTTAAATTCATCCCATTTAATCCCTGCATCTTATATTGAAGTGTATTTAATAGGATTATTATAATGTATACAATCAACACATGCTAACCTTGAAATTTAAGTTTCATTTGGTTCTAAATTCAACATTATTATTTCTTTTCCATGTTTATTGCATTTGATGTTGAGAGATGGTGTTTTCTAAATATTAATATACAATAATTACTGATTTATCTACTTGTTTCTCTTTTTAAATACTAGATACTTTAATTTCCTTTGACTTTTCAATTTTTTGATTCTATTATAATATATCAATAACTTATGTATATGAGTGATTATTTGTAAATGATTAAAACATTGATTAGAGAGAATCATAAAATTGATTATCATCTTCTAATTTATCAAATTCTATAGGAATTTCATAATTAAAACTTCCTTTATAATTTGATGATAGAATTTCAACTTCATCTTCAAATTTATAAATTTTAGATTTTTAATCTAATTCTTCTAAATCCTTTTCAATTAATTATATTTTCTAATGAATATTAATTATTATCTTTTCAATAACATTCTCAACTTAAACTTTGTATTCTTTAATCAAACATTGAATTTATTTAAATGTTTCTATTCTTCTTTAATTTTCCTTAATTTTCAGTGTTTATTATTCACTTTTCATCTCCTTAATCATAATTTTAGTCTCATCCACCAAAACCATATTTTATATATCAATCTTCTCTATTAAACACTTTATACAAAGGTATTTCTCCTCCTTACTCGTTGATTACTTTAAATCAATTGTTGTTATCTCCATCTAATGTTTTTAACAAACCTTCCTCTCCTATTCCAAAGACATCTACAAATCTTTTATTTTTTATTTATTTATATTAATTAATATACACACAATTCATAATATATACTCGCAAATGAAAAAATATTTAAAATATTATAATAACAAAGTTAATGGTTATGGTTTCCAAAATAAATTCATAGAAGATAAAATTAAGAATATTGAATTCATCTTCTTTAATGATATTAATAATTGGAACACGCTTTTCATTATTTTTTTCTTCAAGCTCTAAATATTTTTTTATAGAATATTAGATGCTGTCTATTAAAATTCTCAACCACTGTTACTTACAAATAAATTATATATTATCAGTATTTGATTACTACCACTTGAAAGAAATTTGATACAATCAAAACATTTTTTCCTTTTTGTGTTTGTAATTACAGAGAATCTTCATTCTTTAATTCTTTATGATAAAGCCAACACATCTCACATATCATATTGCTATTCAAAAACTTAGTCTTCCTTATCAATTAAGTGACAACTTGATGATGGTATATATCCTTAATTAATTTTCATCTCTTCATTTTTTACTTATATTATGAAGTTATTCAATAATCAACTGGCATTTCATGAACTCCTGTTACAGTTTAAATTAATCCAATCTTTAAACATCAATTAAGTTTGTTCTCCAATCTTAAGGAAGAATAAGTATTTTATCAAGATATTTAATTGAAACCTGCTTTTTAGAGCAATTATCATCTATAATTTCTAAAGGTTTTCAAACTTTTTAAAAGGAGACTTGAGATTTGGTTCTTAATATTCAGTCTTTTCTCTTTGGGATTTTTCAAACCTTACTTAAGCAACTGATAATCCACGATCTAAGAATTTAATGCAATCCAATATTCACAAGAGTTAAATATGAGTCTTTTACTTATGGTACTTAGGAATCTAGAATGATAAATTCAACCTTTTTTCTTCCTTTTGATTAAAAAATGACATTAAATTCAATAATCAACAGGTAAATTTTAATTGTAACCTTGATAGTGGTTTACAAATTAAAATATTTTAAATAATTGATAGATATTATGATATTTTTAGTTTTGAGTCTGTTTTCCTATTTTTTATTAATGTAATGTTGAATTTAGTAATTATTTTCGTAATCCTTGTATGAAATCGAATAAGATTTCCTGCTTAAATGATGCGTGAGTGGCATATTTTGTTTGAAATTTATTGCGAATGATGATATATTTGAACCTATGGCTGCTTTTATGTTATAAATATGCTTATTTCGAATTTATTTGATTAGTAGATGTTAAATTGAAATATTTATTATTAATCTGAAGAATTGCATTATAACTTTTAATTTCTTTTAGTTGATTGTTAAAATCAGCTTTAAAAATAGATTTAGCATAAGCATTTTTTTAATAAATATCCAAATTACAAATTCTTTTAAATTAAGATTCAGGTAATTAATATTTTAATACAATAAGTATATTTTTTATGTGTTTTATTAGTCTGATGAATAAAATACAATTACTCAACATCTATCACTTTATTTAATAATTACTTTAAATATGATTTCTTATTCTTCTAAGAGATCTTGTGAATCTTAAATAATATAATTTCATATCTTTTGGGAGATTTTATTGCGATTACTCTGATAAAAATTGTTTAATTCTAATATTATTTTTTTCTGAATTTTATAAATTCTGAATCCATTTCTTCATCATTGTCGCCATATCATTTCATCACAGCAGTGCAAATCAATTCATTTGATCAATAGAATCATAAAATCTTCTTCAATTAGATTTGAATATATATTACCTTTTGTAATAATACTAATTAAAATATATTTATTTTCAATTGAACTTTTTGTATAAGAGCATTAACTTTAGCTCATATTCTGCATTATGAGCCTAGTTAAGTTTAGCAAATCCATAATAATCTTTCCAAAAAGCATTGTCTTATGTTTTAATCAGTATAAAATGTATGAGTTTGAAAAAAAAAATATTTTTTAATTTTTAATTAGAATAAAATAAAATTTCTTTGATTCTCATCTCCTACCCTAAGGGAGATTTCTTTAATATTTATTAAAACCATCATCTCAAAATAATATTTTTCAAGATAACTTTTTCTTTAGAGATAAATTAGCAGCTTAAAGAAGTTATTATAAATTTCATAAAGTGAAAGTATCAAAGAAACCCTGAACATAAATTAATTATGATTAGTCATATCGTTCTATTAAGCGGAGTTAAAATTTTAAGGATAATTGTATTAAATTACTTAATTCTAAACCTTCAAAATATTAAAATAAATTTAGGTAATTTTAATAATAAAACTTTATATTATATTAATAAGGTATGGGCATAATTAGTTAATCTGGTACTTTTACACACGAATTATATACTCTTACTCCTATCTACTTACTAAAACTATGAAGCATAAAGAATATGAAAACATTCACTCTATAATAATAAGATAAAATTCTTCTTGTCTAATAAAAAAGACAAATGTAACATAAGGTAAAAAATAATTTTATGAATTTATTAATTTATTAATATATGGAAAAGGCTAAAATGAACACCGAATCTAAGTGGATATATTTAAATGAGAAGCATTTTTTAAATTTTCTATATCAAAATTAGATTTGAAGTTTTGATTACTTTATTTTTTCCATTTTTCAATCTATTACTAAAATGGATTAATACTAGTCTTTTTTTTGTAGGAAGTTTAAATGAAGGTACTTATATCCTTATAATATAATATGACTATACTTTCTTTATTTACCATCAAATAGGAATACTAAATCCTAAATAATAATGACTATTTGAATCAATAGAATTGAGTTGGTGTTTAAATTCCGAGTTTCGCCATTAACTTTATTATGACATAAAATGGAATTTCAATTGTTACCATTTTTGTGATAATAAATTAGTTTCTTAAATTTCTAATTAATTAAATTTACAATCTAGAAGAAGGGATAAAATCTTGATCTTGTTTAAATTCTTTAGCATTTCAGTCATAAATTTGGAAATTGATTTTTATTCTAGAAAATCTTATTTAGATTTTCAATATTGTAGACTTGGGCAATTTATTTACGATATGAATTTATTTCAAACTCATAGACTGCTAACCAAAAAATCTTTGGTACTATTTATACACTTTGATATCATACTTATCTTCGGTTTTAGTTTTTCGAAAGGGATGGGATGTTTCAAAAGTGATTAGAACTTGAGTTGTTTAGTTCAAATCAATTTGGATAATGAAGTTCAGTTTAGAGTTGAAGCTACATGGTCGTCACTTTAGACTTAAAAGAAATAACAAGGACCAAACTATTAGGAATTCTTGTTCTAAACTACAGAAATAACATTTAGGATAATGATGTTATAATCTATTTTTAAATCATATCTAATACTAAGAAAGTATTATTCAAAAAAAATCCTAAGTATCTTACTTTAAGTTTTTTAGGAGAGAATTCAAAATCCAAGATATTGGCAATAAATAATTTTTGTGTGTAAGTAACAAGAACGATGATCACTAGGCGAAGTAGTTTAAGAATTTAATGAGAGTGAATCTTAGCTTCTAATCAGTATTTGAAAGGTATAATCTAAAATTGAAAATGGTACATCATAAACAATAGGCTCACCTCAAATTCTAATAAGTGTAAAATCACTTTAATGATTTAAAATTTCTAACCAATCGAAAAGTTAAGATTAATTCAAATCAAGAAAAAATTGAAAAAATAAGAAAAGTTTAATTTGGATTTGCTTTCCTTTTTTACTCAAAAGTGGATTGTATTAAATCAAAGCCAGATTAATCAATAATATGACGTAAGAGTTGTTGAAAAATTGTTTATAAATATATTATTAAACATTTGATAAGGTTTTTCTGAGTGATGATTCTTCAAAGCGAAAATTATCATACCCTTGCATACCAAATATTCAAACTGATAATATTACTTGATATAATAAAACAAGCACCGAATATCAAAATAATAATATTAAATTGTTTAAAATATTTTTATATATACTAAAGTATAAAAATTTTATTACAAATGTAAAATCCACCACCATATATTAAAGGGGAAATATAAGTATTTTTTTGATTAGTACCATCAATAGATTAGGATATCGTGAATTGTGTCTCATTCTAATTGGAAATTGACTATCTAATTTGATCGTAGAACTTTATTAAGAAGTAGATGAGTGATATTCCTACATTTTATAACTTAAACTCTAATAGATTATCCTTAAGAAGATGCAAGAGCTCAACCAATCAACACGATATTTAATAACTAGTTAGTTAATATCTTAGTATTGAATAAATTTTTATTTTGAGTCTACACATCTCACAATTATATTGAAGAGATTTAATTTACAATTAGGAAAACAGTTTTTGTGAGCAATAAAGTGCATAAGAAAATGATTAGCATACACTAGGCTAAATAGACAGCCAGATCTACATTAGCTGTAGGTAAGGCCAAATAAAATATCATTTAATCATTTAATTAAATAAATCAGATATTCCAACTGAAATTCTTGCTCTAACAAGGGTATTCATTAATAATTAATAATAAATATGATTACAAAGGAAAAATATAATATCTGTAGAACTCTTCTTTTGTNCTAAAATGGATTAATACTAGTCTTTTTTTTGTAGGAAGTTTAAATGAAGGTACTTATATCCTTATAATATAATATGACTATACTTTCTTTATTTACCATCAAATAGGAATACTAAATCCTAAATAATAATGACTATTTGAATCAATAGAATTGAGTTGGTGTTTAAATTCCGAGTTTCGCCATTAACTTTATTATGACATAAAATGGAATTTCAATTGTTACCATTTTTGTGATAATAAATTAGTTTCTTAAATTTCTAATTAATTAAATTTACAATCTAGAAGAAGGGATAAAATCTTGATCTTGTTTAAATTCTTTAGCATTTCAGTCATAAATTTGGAAATTGATTTTTATTCTAGAAAATCTTATTTAGATTTTCAATATTGTAGACTTGGGCAATTTATTTACGATATGAATTTATTTCAAACTCATAGACTG